ATGTTTATTAATTTTTTTTTTTTTTGCTTAGTTGTTGATGGACCTTTATTTTTCATACATTTATTTATATGAGGTGCTGAGAATCGAACCCAGGGCCTCACACATGCCAGGCAAGCACTCCACCACTGAGCTACAAGCCCAGCCCTTATTTTTAGATTTTTATCTTGAGACAGGGTCTCACTAATTTTCTTAGGACCTCACCAAGTTGCTGAGGCTGGCTTTGAACCCGCAATCTTCCTGCCTCAGCCTTCCGAGTCGCTGGGAGTACAGGCTTGTGCCACTGTGCCCAGCAGTGCAGCCCTCTCTAAAGGTATGATTACACCAACATGGAGGGTCCTCAACTCACGACGGAGGACTTTACGATGGGCTTAAGGGAACGCAGCCCCATCCTAAGTTGAGAAACATCTATGTATTTAAAAGATGAAAGGAGAATCACTGTGATTGACACCCGGATTGGGGCTAGAGCCCCACCTGCTCAGCCTTTGCCTCCCTCCTGTCTGAGCAGAGCACCCCCAGGTCCCTGGGAACTCAGTTTGAGAACTGCCAGTCCTAGTGGAGGACCCAGGAGCAGGGCCTCCAGGTGGGCAGTCCCGAGCAGCTCACCTGTTCCACCAGCCCCTCCCCGTCCAGCGCCCGGCTGTAGTTCTCGTGAATGTACTGCTCCCTCCAGTCCTGGGGGAATATTGGGGTGTCTGAGAGGAGCCTTCCTCCCACCCTCCCTGGGCCACCCCCCCCCACCCCGGCAACATGGGACCCTCCCGGGAGCCCCCGTGTGTGGGTGATCTCCTTAGCCAAGGGCAGGGAAGGAGCATTCCCCGAGGGAGGGCCACTCACGACGGGGTTGTCGAAAATCTGCCAGAGGTCGGGATGCAGGTGGTCTGTGTCATAGCGGGAGGTGGCCAGGAGCCGGCCGAACTCGTGCTGATTGCTGAGGTGGAGGAAGATGCCCTGGTGCAGGGTGGGGTGGGTGTGAGAGGGGGCAGAGGTGACGCTAGGTGGCTGCCCTTGGCCTCCCAGCGCCCAGCCCCAGGCCCTGCACCCCAGGCCCTGCTTGCTCACCTTGTCTCGCAGGCTCTTACAGAAGGCCATGTCCGGGTCAGTGTCACTGCCCGAAAACACCTCCCTCTGGGGCAGCTCTGTCCTCAGGGTTTCCCCACGGATCACATATGCCTGTGATATGTAGGGCACATTCCACACGCCCCTGCAGGTGGTGATGCCAGGGTCAGCGAGGTGGGAGACCCCCAAATTTTGCCCAGTCCATCCCAGAGGCTCCTTCCTCGGGACACCCTAGCCCTGGAGCCTGCCAAGCACTGCTGGTCTCAGCCACCTGATCCACAGCTGGGACCTACCCCGCAGCCACGACACAGCTGCCTAGTCGCCACAATGGACCTGAGAGTGGGGGCCAGGGCGAGGGTCCGATCTCTGCAGATGGGAGGAGGGACCCCGCCCCGGAAGACTCACACGCGCTTCCGCTGCACAAGCTCCACGTAGTCCTCGGAGCGGGCGTAGTACTCATCGGGGCTCAGGGCCCCCCAGAAGTTGGACCACAGCTTGCCATGGCGGGACAGCATGGGGGCGATCACCTTCCTATGGACAGGTGGGGTGAGGGCTGGGCAGAGGCCTGGGGAGCCTTGAGGGGGAAGGGATGGGGTGGCTGGGGGTGCCAGGACATGTGGGGTGCCCAGCCGGGCGGAACCACCTGTTCTGCTCAATGAGGATGCGCAGGGTCTGCATGTTGGTGAGGACGGCATCGGCATCCAGACTGAAGTAGAATTCACACTCAGGGTCCTGCCGACAAGTGTCCCTGGGGGAGACACACCCACACAGATGAGCCCAACAGGGAGCAGAGAGGGGAGGGGACTAGGGGGTGTGTGGGGCCCCTCTTTACCCCCAAGGGGAAGAAAAGGGATGGTCCTGTCCCCACCCAGGGTCTCTGCTGTCTGTGGAGGTGGCCATGGAGTGGTCCAGGATGGCGGCCTGCACCCTCCCCACCAGGTCTCACTCACATGGCCATGTCCCTGGCCTCGCCTGGGCTCAGGGCCTCTTCTGGCCCCACCAGCTTCACAGCTGAGAAGTGGTCCTGGAGCTGATGCCAGGAGTCCGCGATGTGCGGCTCATGGTACACCTCCTGCAGCGGGCGGAGAGGCGGGCTGAGCGCTTGCTGGGGTGGGCGAGGCGGGAAGGGGAGCGGGCTGCAGGCAGGGCAGGGCCCGGGGAGAGGCTGGGGCTCTCACGTTGTTGTGCAGAAAGAGGGTGACCCTGTCGGAGGGGTAGTCCAGGAGCAGCAGCCGCTGCAGGAAGCGGGGCAGGAACGGGGTGGGCTGTTCCACGAACACGGCCAGCAGCACCCGGGGGGGAGGCTGGGGGCGCAAACAGCGGAACTCAGAGGAGAGCCCAGGCCTCTCTGCCCCTCAGCCCTTGCCGGCCAGTGGGTTCCCAAGAGCTCCCCTGCCTGACACACTTCAGGGTGCTCTGGGACCCCAACCTGGTTCCCTTCCTCACCTGCCCCCCCGGGAGTGTCCTCCGGTCCCGGTTGCAGAATCCACAGCCTCCCTGGGGAGTCCAGCCATTGGGGACATAGTTTCCCAGGTAGTTCAGCTGCAGCTGTGAGGGAGAGACGGGGAGCGGCTGGGGTGGAGGAGTGCAGGGGCGATGTGAGGGAGGTCGGCCCAGAGGACGGGGCAGCAGGGTATGGAGGAAGCTCTCCCGGCACCTCTGCTGCTCAGGGACTTGGAGGGGGCTGGGGGTGCCCAGGGCATGGGGCAGACAAGAGCACCTTAGTGGGACCATTTCCATGGACCACGACGGGGAGCGTGTCGTAGGCCACGTTCCTGATGCGCACACGATTCCGATCGAACTTCAGAACCACCTCGTCTGGGGAGGAAGGCCAGGTTTTACACACCCTTTCTCTGGGAGTTGCCAAACAATGGCTTCTTCTAAATGTGGGGTCCCAATTTCTCAAGGGGATGAGGGTGCCTGGGCGGCAAGGCCCCCAGACGGTGGCTCCACTTAGACAGGAACCTCTGCTCTCCCCAGAGCTCTGACCAGGCGCTGCCACCCTTGGAGCTCCACCTGCTCCCTGTGTGACCTGGGGTGAGCCACTAGCCCTCAGGATCCAGTGTCCACATGGCCGAGGATCGGTACAGGGTGGACAGCCAGGCACCTTCCCCTGTGGGATCTCGGAGGCTGGTACCTCGGCACAAGCCCCACTGCTGCTTCGTTACCGAGGCTGGCCCAGTGCGGTTTACTCAGGGGAGCCACAGGCCACCAGGAGCCCCTCCCAATCAGGACCCCGAGCAGTAGGCCCCTCGTTGCCCACCGTCCAGTGCCTTCCTCCTCACCTAAAGCCCCATTGAGGTTCTGGAAGATCCGGGACTTATGATCCAGATTAAGGCTGAGTTTCTCCTGGATGGGATGAGCAGGGAGATGAACGGGAGGTGGGATGACATCATTTCCCACCCTCTTCTCTTTACACCTCCAAACCCCCTTCCGTCTGCCTCCCCCAGGCAGAGGCCTCCCACAGGCACAAGGCTGAGTTCCCCTCTCCGGCCCCACCTACCCTCAGCCCGGGGTCCAGATAGAGCCTCGTGTAGAAAAGCTGATCATCATCATCGTCCTTGTACTTCCACCGGCGGACGATTTGGTGGATGGTGGGGGCGAAGCCAATGAATCCTGGTGGAGGGGGCAGGGGAGGTGGTGATTTCAAAATCCAAAGTCCCGATAGGCCTGGCCCCACTGTCCCTCCAGCCCCCAGGCACCTGGAACACTCTTAGCCCCTCTATCTCAGGCACTCTGCCACTCACCACCGGAGTTGAGGAAGCGCTTGCCCGTGCCCACCTCAGGATACTGCTCTGCCAGCCCCCACTCAGGCCAGCAGAAGCCTTCTGCAGAGAACAGCAATCGGCTGCCACTCTGGACGAACTTCTTTAGCAGCTCTGAGGGGCTGCCAGCCAGAATCACATCATAGCTGAGCAAGGAAAGGGAGGATGAACAGGAGGCCGCTGGGAACCTCAGCATCTTTATCCCTCCTCATGTTCACTCTCTCCTTTCTCCCAGTTCCTGGCTCTTTTACCTGTCTACAAACATGATGACCATGTCTTCCTGGTCTGCATACTTTTCCATTTCTTTCTTTAGCCATCTGACCTTCTGTCCTCCACCAACTGTTCGAGCCACATCACCCCCTCTCCAGTCCTCTCCCAGGCCCAGGGTCTGTGGGAGATCCACATACCAGGGAGGAATCCAATCAACAAGGACTGAGGGCTGCCCAGGCTCACCGTGGGGGCCCGGCACCAGTTCTCAGCCCACTCCTCACCCAGGGTCCCCTCCTCACCCGCACAGTATAGTTGAAGTACTCAGCAGACTGCAAGAAACGCCGGTATCCCTCTGTTTCCGCGGTGGCCACGGTGATCACCAGCAGCTTCTCTAAGGTCAGCCAGGAATGCGTACTTGAGACTTCCCAGCCACGTGCCTGGCTCTCTGCAGGACCCCATCTATCCCTTTTCCTAACTCCACTTCGGCCTTTTCCTCTTCTTTCCAGTTCCCTCTAAATTCTTCCCACCCAGGTACATTTTTGACCCCAGTGAGAGCCAGGTGGGAGTGACATCCAGGAATTCGGGGTCAGTTTGCCTGGAGAGGCTGAAAACTCCAGTTCAGGGTGGGGAGTGGGCAAGGGGCCGCGTGATACCGCCTCCAGGCGCGTGCGGGGCTGGAGTCCCGACCCTCCCCGGCCAGGTTGGCTGACACTGTCCGTCCAGCGCCCGCTCGGCCCGCTGGCGCTCCGGGGTCCTCACCTGGGTTGACCGGCTTGTTGCCCCGAGGCTGGTCGGAGGCGGAGGCCGCAGGAGGCGGCGGCAGCAGCAGGAGCAGCAGCAGCAGGAGCCGGGGGCCCGGGCCGGTCGAGGCCATGGCGGGGAGCAGGCCGGGGCCGCACGCGGGCCCGCACCAGGCTGGGCTGCGCGTCTGGATCCCAACTCGGGAGAAGGTTCTGGGAACGGGGAACCCGGGCTGCGGAGCCGCCCGCTTCGAGGAGGAGCGGGGCTGGGGCTCCGCCCTGGAAAAAAGGCGTAACCCGAGGCCCCGGAGAACTGGAGATGCAGGCGCCGAGACAAGGCGAGGATTGTCCGGGGCGCGGGGCGCGGGGCGAGCGGGGCGCGCGCAGGGGGCGGCCGGCCGCGGGGCGGGGAGGGGGCGAGGCTGCGGCCCGAGCCCGCCGCGCTCTCCGCCCGCCCGACAGCCGGGGGAGCCGAAACCGCGGAGGGGAAGTGACCCGGCGCGGAGGGTCCGGCGGGACGCGGGCGCGGCCGTCGGGCGGAAGACGGGGCAGCCAGGCGCAGGGGCGGCAAGGAGGGAGAAGGCCGGGGAGTCCGCGGCGGGACTGCGGCCCTGGGAAGCTGGAGGCTGATTTGGGGCAGACGGTCAGCAAGGACCTCTCAGTCGGCCCACTCAAGCCAGGCCGCTTTCCTCCGCAGTCCAGGCCGCCCCATCTACTGCCCCGGGGAAATACTTCAGGGGATGTCCTTGGGATGGTAGCATCTTCTGAAGGACCCAAGGACAATAATATTTCTCGAAAGACTCCCATTTCGGGTCTTTCACTACATTTGCACAAGTACACTGAGACCGGAAGTAGCTTTGCCCCTATAAAACATGGCGGAAAGCTTTCTTGTCTCCAAGGGAACACCACGTAATGACTACAAGCGGTGGGGGCTGGTTCTGCGCACGCGCACAAACGCACGCTGCCGGAAGTGGTAGGATTTTCTTTTTTAAACCACTGCTGCCGATTTAGTACGCGTGCGCAGTAGGCTCATCCGGCTGCTGTGTTGCGCAAATGGTGGAGAAAAAAACTTCGGGTATGTGAGCCCCCGGCGGTTAGACCCCTTGGCCTCCCAAGTCCAAACCCGACCTGGGACTTTTTCAGTTATTTGTCTCAAATCTCTTCACCGACTCTCAGGTCTTTCGGGCAGCCCCCTAAACCGTTCATTCAGTTTTATTGATGCCTGCCCTAAGCCTGGCGCTGAGGATGGAGAGGAGAAAGAGCCCTGTTACCCCAGAACTGGCTTTCTGTAAGCGGGACGGACACCCGGACCTGCATTGCCCTTCAGAGTGATAGGTGCCATGGCAGAGCGGCGCACGGCGCCTGGGCACAGGCACCCGCCCCAGCTCCTAGGAAAGGGAGACCTGGAAGGCTTGGAAGGAAACAGAAACGCTTGAATTGAGCCTTGAAAGGCGGGTTAAGGTTTCGCACCTCAGAGGAAAGGCAGAGGAGCAAGAAAAAGCAAGTCGCTTAGGAAGCCTGTTCAAAGTTTGGAGCTTACAAGCAAACAGTGGCCAGAGGAATGGGAAAAGGTGAAGTTTTGAAAAGCATTCCATACACCACCGAGGAAGTTGAACTCCATGGAGAGGCAGTGGAGAGCCATCAAAAGCTTTTAAGGCAGGGGCGTGACCGCTAAGCAGGTTTATCTTTTAGAAAGGCAGTTCTGGCTTCAGCGAGGCAGATGGATTGCAATAGTGTCCAGTAGGACTTTATGTGATGATGAGAATGTTCTTAATCTGTGCTGTTGAGTGTGGGGTGTTCCACCAGGCTTGGTGGTGGCCTGCCTGTAAGCCCAGGGACTCAGGAGGCTGAGGTGGGAGAATTGCAAGCTCGAGGAGGGCAGCCTCAGCAATTTAGTAAGGCCCTAAACAACTTACTGAGACTCTGTCTCAAAATAAAAAGAGCTGGGGATGTACCTCAGTGGCAAAGTGTCTCTGGAGTTCAATCCACAGTAGGACTTTCACTACATGTGGCTATTGGCCACATGAAATGTGGCTAGTGCAACCAAGGAACTGAATTTTAAATTTTTATTTTCTCATAATTAGATTAAATATAAGTAACCACGTGTGATCAGTGGTTACCTTATTGTTGAAAGCAGGTCTAGAGACTGGAAGGTCACTTAAAGAGATGCTGAGGAGTCCGGAGGAAAGGAAGTAACCGTCAACACTGCTAAATTAACTTGCACCTCCCCACTGGCTTTCCATTGTTCTCACCTGTAAAATCCCCAAGTTCAAATTCCTTTAAATATCTAGAGGTAGAACTCTGAGGACCTGGCATGCCTTCATCTCAGCTTCCACCCCACTTGCTTTACATGCTGGTCTTGCTGAACTTCCCTCGGTTTGTTAAAGGCACCCAGCTTTCTTGGTTCCCCCAACCAGCCTACCGATGACTTGGGCCTCAAGCTAGACTTACCTTCCCTAACCACCCCAGGGCCGCAGTGGGGGCTTCTGTCTTATGCTCCGAAGCCTTTAGTACTTTCCTAACCAAACATGCTTGTTCTTTAAAATCCTTTGTGCTCCTGCAATACTGTATGCTCTTGTATTTAGAGTCTCACCGAGTTGCTTAGCACCTTGCTTTTGCTGAGGCTGGCTTGATCTTGTGATCCTCCTGCCTCAGCCTCCTGGGCCATTGGGATTACAGATGTTCATCACCAGGCCCGGCAAGACCATGTGTTTTAAGCCAGGCATGATGACACACACCTGTAATCTCAGCTACTCAGGATGCTGAAGCAGGAAGATTGCAAATTTCAGGTCAGTCTGGGCAATGTAATGAGACCCTATCTCTAAAATCAAAAGGTGGGGAGGAAGGTGTAGCTCAGTGTGAAGCACCCCTGGGCTTAGTCCCCAATACCACCAAATCCAAAACAAAACAAACCAAAAAAAATGTGTGTTTTGATGTTGCTTGGTTCTGGGATTGAATTCTGACCTGGCCATTTACTAGTTGTGCAAACTCTGGAAATATTTCTTTATATATATATTTTTCTAGTTGTATTTTATATATATATATATATATTCTGCTTGTCAATGGATCTTTATTTTGTTTATTTAAATAATATGCAGTGCTGAGAATCGAACCCAGTGCCTCACACATGCTAGGCAAGTGCTCTACCACTGAGCCACAATCCTAGCCCTGGAAACATTTTAACTTCCAAACATCAGTAAGTTGAGATGAACTGATACCTATCTCAAAGGGTTGTTGTGAGGATTAAATGATTCAGTTTATGCTAATTGTTTAGTAAGTCACCCCTCAGTATCTATGGGGGATTGGTTCCAGGACACCCCCTCTGTCTGGATACCAAAATCCATAGATGCTAAAGTCTCACATATAAAATGGTGTAATGGTTTCACATAACTTGTGTGTATCCTCTCCTTTACTTTGAGTCATCTCTACTTTAATACCTTATACAATGTAAATGCTACTGAACTAGTTGTTAACACTGTGTTGTTTAGGGAATAAGTCTGTACCTGTTGAGCGCAGGTGCATTTTGAATATTGTCAATCTGGGAGTTGGATGAATCCATGGATGTGGGACTGTGGACAGGGAGGACCAACTGTATGGTGCCTAGCTCAGAGTATGTTTCTGGCAAGTGGTGGCTGCTGGCGCTGCTGCTATTATCATGGTGAACACACGCTTGGTACTTGTCTGATAAACAAAGATATTTTGTGTAGAATTATCAGAACCTGGCGAGTAGCTGATGGGGTGACAAAGAGGATGAGCGGACTGCTAGGGCTCTGTGTGGATGTACGCAGTGCGTCTGTTCACTCTGGCCGCAGGGAGAGGCAGACTTGGATGGAAGATGTTCCATATTGAGGTGCAATAATCAGAGGGTCAGTGCTGATGTCCTGGAGCCAATTCTGGAGCTCAGGAGAGGATTCTGGGCCAAGACGATCATGTTTGGAGTTATTTGCATGTGGGTGATAGGCAGAGCCCTGTGGAAGAGGGTGTAGACTGAGAGGGAGGAGGGGTGGGCAGAGAAGGCTCAGGGGCAGGGAGGGCAGCCAAGACGGGAGACTGAGAGTCCAGAGAGGGAGAAGGAGGAAAGCTGGAGCCTCGCCAAGGAAATAGGGATTCTTTACCCCCAAGAGGGTGGGCAGCACGGTCACAGGGCAGAGACATGCGAGACTAAGAACTGAGCTAGATATGCACTCTGGAATGGCCCCAGGCGGTCACCCGTGGCCTGCACTGAAGTCAGGCAGGAGTCAGGTTGCTAGAGGTTGAGGAGTAGGTGGGAGGTGAGGACATCACTCAGACCCTCTCGAAGGGAAAAGATTAGGCCATTGGAGGCGTAGACACGCTGGCAGCAATTTATTCTCCTGAAGGGAAAGTCCAGCTGAGGCTGGTGGAGGGTGCTGAGGTTAGGGATGGACTCAAGCTGGAGGAGAAGGGCTGGGTTCAGTCACAGGCCCCTGGAGAGTGGAGAGGGTGGGCCCAGCAGGAGTGTTTGTGGGTGGTCTGAAGGGGGAGTGTGTGTTCCTTGCTTCTTTAGGGGTGGGGAGGGACACTGGTCAAGGGGCACGTCCCAGTGGAGCTGGGGAACCCTGGTGCTCCGTGCCTCCACGTGGGCACAGTTGTGTGGCTTTGGCACAGTGAGAGGCTTCACTGGCTGGAAGCAGGAAGTGCTAGGAAAATGTGGGAAGCAGCGTGAGGAATTAAAGGAGTCTTGCTGGCTGGGGAGGAAGCAGAGCCAGAGGTCTGACACAGTGGGAAACAGGGACACGGGCCTGGGGCCTGGGATAAGACCAGAGGACCGTGGCTACCACCTGTGTCCATCTTCCACCCACTGCCCATAGTCAAGTTACCCCGCAGTGTCTGGGGGGGAATTGGTCGTCTTGCCTCCCATCCACACTCGCTCCCTCCCTGTGTCCCTCTTCTCTGGCCATAACTCTTGCCCTGCCCCAACTAGTTCGCTCCCAGGACCCTGGACAGCGCCGGGTGCTGGACCGGGCTGCCCGGCAGCGCCGCATCAACAGGCAGCTCGAGGCCTTGGAGAATGACAACTTCCAGGACGACCCCCACGCAGGCCTCCCCCAACTCGGCAAGAGGCTGCCTCAGTTTGACGATGATGCAGACACTGGTAAGGCAGACGAGGAGGAAGGGAGGGACAGGCCCAGGTCAGGACTGTGGAAGGACACTGGGCTGCGAGGCCCCTGGCCCGGACGTCTGCTGGCCCTCGTGGCTGTGAGCCACTGCGTCTCGGTTTCTCTTGTACACAGAGTAAGGACAGAGTGGATGAGCTGACCTGGGCCTCAGTCAGGGTACCTGGAGCTGGTGGGGCCTGACTAGGGGAGTGGGGTAAAGAGCAAAGGCTGATAGGGCGGGACAAACAGACTGCACCCCTGTGGGGAGCCAGAGAGAGCTGCTCCTTCTCTGCAATTGTCAAGTGACTCATCTCTCTGGACTCCTAGGAAAGAAAAAAAAGAAAACTCGAGGTGATCATTTTAAACTTCGCTTCCGAAAAAACTTCCAGGCCTTGCTGGAGGAGCAGGTGAGAGGGGCACTGCCAGGGGACCGTGGGGAGGGGGAGCCCCTGGAGGTCCTGCCTGGCAGGTGTTGGCTGTGTGGGGCTCACAGAGCCCGCCCGCCTTGTCTCTGCAGAACCTGAGCGTGGCGGAGGGCCCCAACTACCTGACGGCCTGCGCAGGGCCCCCGTCCCGCCCTCAGCGCCCCTTCTGTGCTGTGTGTGGCTTCCCTTCCCCCTACACCTGCGTCAGCTGCGGAGCGCGGTACTGCACGGTGCGCTGTCTGGGCACCCACCAAGAGACCAGGTGAGCTGTGGCCTCCCTGTCCACACTCACTGCCCCTCTGTGGCCCCCTAGACCTCTTCCTCTTCCTGGCCTTCCTGTTTGCCTGCAGGTGTCTGAAGTGGACTGTCTGAGCCTGGGGTCTCCAGAGAGGAAGGACCTCCATGCACCACCAAGGAAGCGCCCTGAACAGAGGGAGGAGCCACGTGCTCCCCTAGCACAGCTCTGTTGTCCCTGCAGGGACAGCCAGTCTTGCTCCTGGGGTCATCCAGCAGGGTGGGCCCAGCCTGCAGAGTGCTGTGGTAATAAAAGGCCTGGTGCCCGGAGCCTCCCTGCTTGGTTGTGGGGTGTTTGGGGGTGAGGGTCATGGGCCACCTGTCGCTCCTACTTACTGCTGTCTTCCTCTGACCTGCCACTTGCCGCTGCCCTTCTGTGTCTGACCATGGGGAATTTTGTCCCATTCTCCTGCCACTCCGTCGTCTTGCCTTTGCCTTTCTTAACTGATCCATGTGTCTTCACAGTCCATAGGAAATCCAGCTACCTTGAAGCAGAAGCCACCATTCTGTGAGAAAGCCCAGGTGACTCCGAGGCTGTGGGCAGGTGTCCTCACTTGCAGACCCGGGGGGGCCAGGCCTTCCTTCTTCAGCACTGATTTAGTTTGGTTTTGCTTTTGATTTCTCTGGTTCCTCTTACTATTTTTGAAGTACATGTAGGTTCCAGGGCTGGGTAACAGAAACTGGGCGAGGGCTAGAGCCGGGATACAGGATGCTACTGTGAAGGTGCCAGTCCTGACTTTATCTGGAGCTTAGCCAAGTGGGAGTGGCCAGAGAGCCTTTGTCCCTGCTGCCCCTGTCTGAGAAAGCAGTTGTCTTTAGAAGCCCCTGTTGTCTGTGACAACAATTGTGTCAAATTATTGGCAGCCCTGACTCCAGAAGTTCCTGGAAGACGTGGGGATTGCAGCGTAGAGCTTCCTGGCCTGGTGGTGCTGCATGCGGGGGTGCCAGGCCTTCTCTGCCTCATTTTGAGGATTGCAAACCCTAATCCCATAAGCTCCTTGGAGTCCATTGTTAAGCCACAGCAAGGCAGGGGCTTTGGGAGTATTTGTTGAGCAAATGACCTTAATAAGATGTTAATGAGATGGCAACCAGGACAATGCCAGGCACTGCCTCAGGCTCTTCACTGCTCTTTGGGACAGTGTTTTCTGGGGACCTGCTTTCCCTTTCTCTGAAAACTTGTGGCAGGCCAGATGGTATTAATGACAGCTTCACAGGAGTTGGTAGTGACCATAGGGTTTGGAGAGAATTCAGGTGTGGTGATCGTAGAAATGAGGTGAGGTTGTTTTTCCTTGAATCAAAAGGTGGGGTGTTCCCCTAGAATCTAGGCCGGCTAATGACTCCCCCAACATGATACCCACAGTCCTGCCCTGTGGCTAGGACACTTGCTTTTGGGTCCCCAAGACTGTCCATAGGAAATCCAGCTACCCTGAAGCAGAAGCCACCATTCTGTGAGGAAGCCCAGGTGACACCAAGGCTGTGGGCAGGTGCCCTCACTTACAGACCCAGGAGGGCCAGGCCTTCAAATCCTGCCATCCCAGCCTCAGTCACAGGTGATTGTGCCCCTGGCATCAGTTCACCTTCAGCTTTCCGTCTCACATCCAGAGAGAGAGAAGCCGCCTCGCTGTGCTGTGCCTGTTCAGATTCCTGAGTTACAGAATCTGTGTGCAGAATAAAATAGTGGAATTATGCTGCTGAGTCTTGAGATGGTTTGTTAGTAGTAGTAACAAGGACACCAGGAGTCTCAGTTTGCTGGCAGCAACTCCTGTCTGGGCCTCTTGTCTCTCCCAGGAAATGAAACTCTGGGGTCCAGAACCTTTCATTCATCTTTCCTCTTCACCAAGAAGTACACAGGCCAGAAAAGGAAAGTAGAAAAGCCCTTTGTGTGTGTGTGTGTGTGTGTGTGTGTGTGTGTGTGTGTGTGTGCAGTGCTGTGGATTGAACCTAGGGCCTTGTTCATGCAAGGCAAGTGCTCTACCACCTGAGCTATGTCCTGAGCCCAGAAAAGCCCTTCTTGGTGGAGAAACACTGCGTCAGACTCAGTGTGTCAGCGCAGCCTGCTCTTTGGTTCATTCCCACCCTCAAGGGCCTTGCTTCATGTTTTGTTATTATAAATGGAGTCATGTAGGTTCTGTTTGGTGTAAGATCTCTCCTCCCAGCACCTTCCCAAGTGACCTTGTGAGGATGGTTCTTAACCCCAGTGGCGTCTTGGTGCTCTGATGCCGATTGGCTCCCCTGGTCATCCAAGAACATTCTCTAAGAAGCATGGATCCCTATTTTAAACCAGAACTCCTCAAGGAAAGGCCTGAACAAGATTTGCCAGCTTTTTTTTTTTTTAACGGGAAACTTGTTTGCTGACTTGGGAGACCCCTGGTCTTTGGGAAATCTACACTATTCCAACAGTTTCTAGAAGTTAAACCTAGTGTCATGATGGAGTAGCACCACCCTTCCTGGGAACACAGGAAGAAGAGGTTGGTGCCACCTTCTGGAAGGCTGGAGACTGGGGACTTATTCCTAAAGAGCTCAGTGAGCACTGCTGCTAGTTGCGTTAGGATAGCTGAGGATTCCGGGAGGCATCATCAGCTATCCTCAGTCTTGGAGAAATCCCGGCCCCACTGCTTCCTACTTGTGCAGCTGGGCAGGTGCCTTTGCCTCTGCTTTTGGTGCAGCCACCTCCCAGGTATTGCAAGGACTGGGAGAACTCTTACCCAGTGCCCGCAGCTTGTGAGCACCCAGGATTGACAGCTATTGCTGCACTGCCCGAGAGCCAGAGTGGTTTGTCGTTAGACATCAGATGGCAGCTTCTGGTTGACATTCCTCTTTGCTCCAAGTTTGAGTTCTTTGAGGGCAAAGTCCATGTTTTGGTGCCCACCCCAGCTTCTAGTGAGAAGAAACTCAACAAATATAGTGAAAAGGGGAAAATGTCCCTAACTTCTTTAATCATGTGACCATGTGATGGCCAGAGGAATGGAAACAGCCTAGCACCGTATTAAGGCACATGGTACTTAGTGCTCAGTTGTGGAACTTGGTTTGGGCGCATCTCCCTGAAAGGAAGGGGTGCGTGCGAAGAGACCTGCAGGAAAGAGCTGGTTCAGGTGAGTGGATAAGGTTGAAGAGAAAGGGAGGGGACTGCTGAGGGGACCCAGGAATCACCAGGTCCTGTGGCAGGAGATACATGTTGGGCTGGGCCCCTATTCTCTGCTGTCACTGGATGCCAGGCTTCTGTCCTGTGGCCTCATTTTCCTGTCTTGAATGGGTACCAAGTAGAGCTGGGCCTGTGCCACGCCTGCCCCCAACCTATGCTGAGGGGGACACCATCTAGCCTTGCACGTACCTGCAGAAACTTCTGGAACCTCCCCCCCAGAGAAATGTACAGGCACCACACCCAGCTAACTTGATCCAGAGCTCCAAAGGGGCTGCCCATTCCTGATATCCCTGCTCAGGCCCAGGTAAGAAACTGCTCCAAACCAACTGTCCCCTTAAGGCAGCTCTGAGAAATCATCAGGAGTGGCTTGTTATCACTGCCAGCTGATCCTGGGAATCTCTGATATTTCCAAGAACCTGGAGGTGGGGCTTCCCATATCTGGTCCAAGATGACTCTTGGTAGTAATTATGTACCACCCTCTGGAAATCACTAGCAACGCCTCTGTTTTGCTGGACAAGACAGCCCAGAAGTGGTAGACAGAACGACAGGGGTCCAAGAACTGACTCTGGCCCCACCTCTCCCCCTTGCTTAGCCCCCACTTCCTGACACCTTCAACCCTGAACAGTCACAAAACACATTTATTTATGCATGTATTTATATAGAACGCACAAACAGGGCAGGGGGAGGGGCACCTCCGTCCCCTCACGCCCAGAAGAGAGGCCTTAGAAGAGTCCAGGATGGGGCGTGGCCTCCAGGCAAGGGGCGTGGCCTGGAGTGTGGCCTGCTGCAGGTTTTTAAAGGGAAGATGGGCCCCAGGGTCCTTAAGGGGCAGTGGGAAGGGAGATGGGTTCCGCTGGCCCAAACTCATCTACACATAAGCATTTTTGCCGTATTTGCCAAAGCTGCTGTCACCTTCATCTGAGGTGGCGGTGGGCATCACGACTGTGGAAGTCTTGTAGGGAAGCTGGGCCCTGTGGGGAGAAGGGGGCCGTCACAGGGAGGTACGACCCTTGCTCCCTGCCCTCCACCCTGTCCTTCCCCTCTCTCACCTTGCGGTGGGGTCCTCCTGGGAGGCACAGCAGCAGCTGGAACAGAGGCAGATGCCACCAAGGATGCAGAGCAGGGAGGCGCTCCAGCCCAGGTAGAGGGCGGGGCCCAGCTCATACCTGGACGCAAGGGCGACGCAGGGGTGGGGGCCAGGAGGTGAGTGTGGGCCAGAGGGACAGGGCCAAGTTCCACCCGAGCTGTCCCAGAGGGCGGAGCTCCTCACTCACTTGGTTCCAACGTAGAGGGGGTTGAAGAAGTCCTGGGTGATGTTGACGGCATACCAGGAGATGGCCACCATCCCGCAGGCCCCTGGGGAGGCGGGAGAACCGCACTAGTGCCCTGGGTCAGCATGGCCCAGGCAGGAGGTTGGTGTGGGGGCTTAAGAAGGGTCAGGCAGGGGTCTTCCTGAGTAGGATGGAGGGCATCAAGTCCAAGGGTAACCATTTCACTTCAATTCCTTTCTCCCGCCCCAGCCTATAAACTTTCCCATCCTGGCAGTCAACTGTAAAGGTCTCAATCCAGCACTTCTGACCTCCCTTCCTGGCACTCTCCATCCAATCCCGGCCCCCCTTGGCCTCAGAGCTGCCTTGTTCATCCCAACCTGAGGGCCCCAGCACTCCTGGCCTCACCTGGAATCTGTCCTACCCAGCCTGCAAAGCCCAGTTGTCCAAGCCTCCCCACCCACTGCCCTGATGGCCCTTTCCTTTGGAATCCCAAATCCCACCAAGCCCTGGGCTGTCACCACTCCACTTGCTGGGGGCCTGTCTTCCAGGAAACCACCTGACCTTTCAAAGCTTTTCACATCTGGAACAGGACAATGCCCACCCTACCTTGCAGACTTATCATGAGATGAGAGGTGTGAAAATGTACAAATGGAACACTAGTGGCGAGTCTCTGCATTGTTACTCTACACTGTATGGGTGTGTGTGTTGGTGGAGGACTGAACTGTAGATGGGATTGGAGGTTCAGATGAGGGTGGGATGGCAGGGAGCCAGGGAAGAGCCCAGCAGGTGTCAAGGCAAAGTGGAAGGAGCTGCATGTGCCAGGAGTAGGGAGCTGGACATGGGGCAGGAAGCCCGTAGTCTGTGGCCAAGGGCTACCCCAAGCTCACCCAACACCTTCCCCCAATTACCAGCCAGCATGTCAAGGGCTCCCGCGATAGCTGCCACCTTGGCTTTCCTGGAGAGCTCCATGCTCCCAATTTTGGTGCAGCGCAGCCCCAGGATGCCTAGAAAGAGGCCAAGGAAGCCCAGGAGGATGGCGGTGATCATGAGCGCACGGCAGCCCTGGACATACCCTGGGGAGGGACACAGGCATCAGTCTTTCCCCCATCTCTCCCACCTCCATGGCCCACAGCAGCCCCTGTGGCCTTTGCTCAGACACAGGCCTTGCTGTCCCTCGAAGTCCTCCAGCCTCATTCCCTGTGCATCCACGCCCCTCCCACCCATGCCCTCCTCCTCCCAGCCAGGTGCACTTTGTTGGTACCTTTTCCATGGGTTTCACTACTGACTCTGGGCTGGGGACCTAGTTCCCAGGGAATGTCCTATGCATCATGGAGCATTTTGCAGCACCCTGGACCTCTGCCTACAGGATGCTGTAGCAACTCCCGCTCCTCCCAAGCTGAGGCAAAGTGCAGACCCAGGCTGGCTGAGACTTGCCACTCCATGAGATCAGGCCCATGTTCTACTGTGCATTATAGAAAATTCACCTTCCCCATCCCCGCCCCGCATCCAAGGGCTCTCCAAGTCCCACCCAGAGCTCAAGCACAATGCCTGACACCTCCAACAGAGTTTCTTCCCAGAGTAACCTGAAGGGGGCAGCAGCGGCCTATGGCAGAGGGTCAAGGGCAGTTTCTGACCTGGAAGGTGGGACACCTGGGCCCAGGATCATCCGAGTTTGTCTAGCTCATATTGATGCCTCAGTTTCCCTTTTTGCAAAAATGAGGGAAACTGCCAGCCCCTCCTCCCCTCTCTGTCTTCCATAATTGCTAAGTGCTCCTGAGGACCTTGCTCCCCTTTCCTGGGTGGGGCAGCAGCATGGGTACTGAAGGAGAAAGGCTGGGTCCCTGCCAGGAAGAGGTAAGTGGCCTGAAGTTGGGGAGCAGGGAGGAGGGACAAAGTTCTCTGAGAGGACATTCTGACTCCCAGCCACTCCCTCCCCACCCCAACTCTCAATCCTCAGGGAGCTCTGGTGGCCAAGTGGAAGTTGGGGTGCACAGCTGGTGGGTGGCTGAATGAGGGCCAGGATCCCTCTCTGGACCACAATGGGCCATGGAGGAATCAACTGGGCCCTGGGCTCGGGCGCCATAAGTTGGAGTCTCAGCTGCCCTCACCTCCTGTGGCTCTAGGCTGTTATACCCTACAGAATTTCTTCAGCTTTGTGAAATGAGGTCAATGCCCCACCCAGCAGCAGGTGACTACAGACCACTGCAACAGCACAGCTGGACGGGGAAGCACAGGCCGGAGCTCCGCGGCCCTCTGCTCTCCCCTCCAGACGCTC